TTTAGTTTTCATTTTTGTAGTTAATTTAATAATTTTACAAAAGACATGATGATGGTTAGACAAGTAGTTTTTCTAGTCATGATAACTTCTTTTTTAATCATCTTTTATCTTAATTTCATCAAGGGAAATACAAGTTGGCTGAATTTAAATCGGCACCCACTGACCTGAATTGACTGCTCTAGAATCTGGGACCCACAGAATAGATGGGTTCTGACTAACTCTGCCCTAAGCATTGAGGTTAAATGGATTCACTTTTCATACAGCATACCTTGACAGAAATCATGGTGAATCTTAGTTTGCTTCCAGTTTGAACCAGGACTTTATTTTGTAGTTTTTGTTTGTTTTTTCCCCCTGAAGTTTCTAATTGTCTTTCTGTATTTGTGTTAATAAAAAGATAATGTGCCTTAATCTTACAATTCAGCCACTCCAGCTTCCTTTTTTTTTTTTTTTCACTTGAAAATGTTTATTTTCAGAATGACCTTTATCCAGATAAAGGTCTTGTCAGCACTTCTCATAGGCTATGACACAATTTTGCAGCAAACCTGTTTCCTTACCAAAATTGAAGTCAATAGAAAAAGAAGCGCCAAATGGGTAATGAAACTATGCTTAAGTACTCCTTATTCTAAAGCTTTTACATTGATTCCAAATATATCAATTTTTAAAAAGTAATTTCTCTATATATAGGGAAAAAATATTTTAAATCAATTGGTCCTTCGGCTGCAATAAGATTCAGCAAAGCCTTACCACTTCAAGCAAGTCTGTTACACCTATCTATACTCAAGAAGTGCTTTTGAAGTGCTGGTCTCTTCTATGTATTTTCTTAGGACCCACACATCATTCCAGTTTCCATTTTAAGTAAAATTTTATATTTCTTTTTCTCAATATGAAATACATTCCCAAGGGTCAAACATAAGGAATCCTAAAACAATCTCCTTCTCACTTTATTCCTATATTTGCTCAGTTCCCACAATAAGTAACCACTATTATTAGTTTCTTAGTAATTATTTCATTAAACTTTTATGCAACTGAAAGCCAATACACACAATTATTTTTTTCCTTTTCCTCTTTCACACCAGGGGCAAAAAATATTTTTCTGCATCTTGCTCTTCACTTAACAATATACCTTGGTGATCTTTTTGTGTTAACCCATAAAGAGCTTTTCCATGTGTTTCTATAGTGGCAGTTTCCATTACTATACCTGTATTAATGACCATAATATATTTTACCCTTATGTTATTGACATTCTTATCTTTGGCTTTTGCCAACATTGCAACAAATAATCCTGTGCATCCTGCACATCACAGTCATTATGCATGTGCCTAGCTATAGGATGAATTCCTAGAGAAAATTCCTGGGTGAAAGATTATATCCATTTGAGTTCTGAAAATTATTGGCAGTATGTTCTCTATACAGGTTGTACCAGTTAGAACTCCTAATAGAAATGTGAAAATACATGTTCCCTTAAAGCAGTAACATCATACCATTCCAGAGTCCTTTGTATTTTTGCTAGTCTGATACGTGAGAAATAATAGCTAAGTATAGCTTTAATGTACATTGCTTTTATTATAAATGAAGTTGAGCATCTTTTCATGTTTTATGAGTTGTTTATAAATTTTTAATTTTTCATATTCTTTTTATTTTTCTCATTGGAGTTTCATTTTTCTTGTCAGTGTCTAAAACCTTTTATAATGTGAGAAGATTAGCCTTCTGCTTTCCTACGAATTGCAAACATTTTCCTGATTTGTCATTTATCTTTTGCTATTCTGATTATTTAATAAGTTAAATTTTACTTTGAGTATAATAGTTCTTTTTTTTTTGTCTTGCAGTAGGTCTTTGTTTTGTGTTTTTAATGCAGTTACATTTAACAATCTTTACTTGTGGCTTTTCAAGTTTGTGTTTCAATTAAAAAGATCTTTCTCATTCCAAGGTTATAAAGAAAAATGCCCTCTATTTGGTCCACTATTTGGTGATTATTGTACTTTACATTTAAAGATTTGGTCCTTTGGGGATTTATCCTAGTTTATAATATGAGATATGGATCTAACTACAGTCTCTCTCATTATCTACAGATTCTGTATTTGCAGTTCACCCATTTGCTAAAATTTATCTGTAACCCCAAATCAATACTTGCAGAGTCTTTGCTGTCACTTGCAGACATGCAGGAGTGATGAAATTTGAGTTGCCTGACACATGCCTGTTCCTAGCTGGGGTTGAGCAGGTGATGTTCTGCCTTCTTGCTTCAGCTATCGTACAGTAAACAAGTGTTCTTTCCATGGCTTATTTAGTACCACATTTTTTTTTGCATTTCCATGCAGTTTGTTGGTGATTTCTCTGTTTAAAATGACCCCTAAGTATGATGCTAAGATGCTGTCTAATGTTCTCCAGAACAAGAAAGCTATGATGTGTTTTTGGAGAAAATATATTAGATAAGTTTTGTTCAGGTGTGGGTTACAGTGCTGTCAGCCATGAATCAACCATGTATGTTAAGGTGTCTTTACACAGAAACACACATAAAACAAGGTATGTGTTGGTCAGTTGTTGATAATGTGACCAGAGACATACAGAAACCTAACCCTGTATTTCTCCTTAGTAAAAATGATTTAGTCCTCACCAAGTCAATGTTTGCAGCATCTTTATAGAATTCAACTACTGCTAATGAGAATCAACTGTGAATGGTTTTTTCCAAGATGCTATTAACTGCCCATTACTGTCTCTGAATAGCTTACCTTTTCCCACTTAGATGTCACTTTTATCATATACTAAAGGCTCATTTTTTATTTTGTTTTATTGGTCAGTCTGTGAATTCATGTACCAAGACCACATGAAACCTTATTTTAAAGAAGTTTTAAAATCTGCTAAGCATAATTTCACTTTTTTAAAGTTTTCTAGGATATGTTTATTTTTGTCTTTCTGCTCCTCCTTTGGCCTGTGGACCTCCCTATGCTTCTGTGTTAGCCAGTGTTCTGTAGTTGAATGTAATAGAATCTCACTATATTAGCTTTGAAATTAAGGAGGGGACATAAGGAAGATTACATGGAGGTGGGAAAGAGATGGAATTGCAGGATACGGAACAAGATTGTGTACCCTCTTGATGGTGGTTGTGGCTTATTTTATTTTTTAAATATATCTTTCTTGACTTCAGAGAGAAAGGAGAGGGGGAAAGAGTGATAGGAACATCAACGATGAGAAATAATCATGGATTTGCTGCCTCCTGCACACTCCCTACTGGGGATGGAGCCTGCAACCCGAGCATGTGACCTGACAGAGTTGAACTGTGATTTCCTGCTTCATAAATCGAAGTTCAACCACTGAGCCACACCAGCTGGGTGGTTCTGGCTTATTTTAAAAGTGTATTAACCTAGATGCACAGAAATAATGAATAGGGCTTGCTTAAGGCAAAGATAAACTTTTACTAAAAAGTTATATATCTAGGGAGTGAGTATCTACTCTGATCTGCCCGCTTAGGAATTTATAATCAGATCACCCTATGAGTTGCTTTCCATATAATCCTCTTTTTCATCCACGCATTTTGGGTGTTGCAAAATCCAAGGATGTGACTAGTCCTGAGCACAGATGCCCTTAGGAGCCTGAGTCAGGGTCCTTCAGAGACAATCTGGCCCCATGTGGTGTCTCTCTCTCTCTCTCTCTCTCTCTCTCTCTCTCTCTCGCTCTCGCTCTCGCTCTCGCTCTCTGTGTGTGTGTGTGTGTGTGTGTGTGTGTGTGTGTGTTTCTGTTCACCTGGTCAGTTCATGCCTCTCTTTTTCTCTCTATAGAAATGATTTCAGGCCTCTCGATCAACAGGACAAAAGATGGCTACCCCATTGCTGCCAAATGACATCTCTTCAATTCAAGTGACCAACCACGTCAAGAGACAACAGCATCTAAACTCCTGGAAGGATCTGATTTTTTCAATTTGGGTCAGTTAGTGGGGGTCAGGGAGCAGGACATATGCTTGGATAATGCTACTTTCTCGGCCAAAGGAATGCAGTAGGCTCTGGAAGGCAGATTATGGGCTGGGCAGATGACTTCATCACTATAGCTCATTATTGTCACTTCCATTCCATCCTATTCCCCTTATTCTTTTCATTCTTGTTCTAAAGTCTTCTAAGGTTTCGATGTCCTTTGGTACCAACAAAGCCAAGGTGCCATTTCCCTTCCTAGAAACAACTGTTTCTTAAACAGTTATTTCTTTCCAGGTAGTCCCTGCCTTGTAAGCTTCTTAGCCTGGTTTGCTGGCCTTGGGAGGGACTGCTAGTTTTGCCTTAAGGAGCATTAGTTAGATAGGGCCTCACTAACAAAACCAGTGACCTGGTTCATCTCTCAGCCTTTGGGGATGATTATATTTTTGCAAACACTTGGGGAGAAGATAAAACAAAGAGAGACAATTCAACTCCAAAGCTCCCAGTATCTTCCTTCCCTCCATATCCTAGCCCCGTGAGTCAGCAAACTGCGGCTCTCGAGCCACATGCTGCTCTTTGTCCCCTTGAGTGTGGCTCTTCCACAAAATGCCACGGCCTGGGTGAATCTATTTTGAAGAAGTGATATTAGAAGAAGTTTAAGTTTAAAAAATTTGGCTCTCAAAAGAAATTTAAATCATTGTACCTTTGATATTTGGCTCTGTTGACTAATGAGTTTGCCAACCACTGTCCTAGCCTAATGGTGCTAGGATATAATAGTCTTAACCACCCAAGTTACCACTGTGGATGAATAAATGGTGCGGTAATAAATCATAAATTCCTAATGGGCAGGTCATGGTGAATAGTCACTCCCTAAGCATATAACATTTTAGTAAAAGGCTTATCTTTGTCTTAAGCAAGCCCTGTCTATTGTTTTTGTACATCTAGGTGATCACACCTCTGAAATCCTTTTTTTCAGAGTCCTCCTTCTAAAACATAACCACTCTCAAGGGAGCAAATAGTTTTAAGTGTCCTTTAGTCGAATCCCACTTTGCTTTCTCCCACCTTCACATAATCTTCTGTACATTCCATGCTTAATTCCAAATGCATAAAAGAACTGCAAAATGTTTATCACCGGAGCATTTGAGATTCTTCTCCCTGGTGTATGTTGTCAGCTTGGCTCAAACTTATGAAAACTCTACAGATTTGGATGTTTCTTATGTGGATATTGCAGAGAACTCATCCCAAGTGCTCACCAAGCAGAGCAGGAAGTCAGAGCACAGAGTTCCCTCCTCATGTGGGGAACATCTCTCAGTATTACTGGCACAAGAGATATTTGGGGTACACAGACATCTGTGCTCCGACAGCTTGAAGCTGAAGACTTTTTTTTTTTTTTTTTTTTTTAGTGTGGTAACAAGAAATTTGTATCAGCTTCTCTTTAGGGAATATCGTGACTATCACGGTTTCTAATTTTAAACAGAAAATCCATTTTCCACCATCATCCTTGATCAGAAGTAGCCTTTTCGAAAAACTGGAGGGAATGCAGGATTCTAGTGAATTCACCTGATCTCCAGAGAGTACATTTTAAACAACACAAGGAAGTACTTGAGGAAAATGAAAATGCATTGGTTTTGAGTTCTCTTTCCTGGGGAAGGCCAGAAAAAGCTGCAGGTGGGGGAGACGAGAGGAGGAGTGGGTTGGGGAAAATCCCTCGGAAGTCATTTTCTTGAGTATCAGAGAGGAGAAAGGAGTATAAAGACCAGCTGAAGAAGTGGGACTCCTTGATGAAATTCTTGTAATGAACTCCCATCCCGACGGTGCTGCAAGTGGTCCGTGGAATCCACGGCCTGGGCAGCTGTAGGGAAGAATGGAGAGTGCCAATTCCTGCCTCTGAGCAACGGCAGAGACTTTGCTGGTCCTCTGCAAAGCATCCTCGGGCCAACAGCGCTCCACACATTTTTCTGAGATTTTGGATCATTTGCAATTTGCCCCACGACTCCCACACATTTGCCTCTTAGTGTCCCAAAGCTCCTCGCTGCTGCAACGTTCCCATAGGAATGTGGACGCCTGCCAAGCGACCTCATGAACATTCCATTCATCTCCTTGGCTGGGAGGCAGCAAGGAAACCAAAGTGGCTGGTTGTTTAACTGTTTGGGTCCCAAATTCACCCTGAAATGAATGGTCATGCTTGTTGAACTTTTCCAACAATCATGCAGAAAAACAGAAGATTAACACCAAAGAGAAGTATTCATTTATTCATATGATCCCATCTGAAAAACAGCTATTTTTAAAGGTAGCCAAATGCAAACCATATTCTCTGATTTTCCTTATTGTGAAATCATCCTCCACCAGAAAGGCATTTTGAAGTAAGAGGCTTTGTGAGGTGTGACTAAGAACAATGTGACTAATTTTTTTTTAAAGCAAACACAGCAAAATACAGCCATCCAAATGAAGGTTGGTGTCTTCCAAGTAATTCCAAGATGCTCAAACATGTAAAAATCCTTTTAGGGAATTACTGGCCAAGTATTGCTCTCACTGTTTTGCTTTCTGTTGATCATTCACTCAGCATGTATTAGACACCTCCTGGGTGCCAAGCACTCCGCCAGGCCCAGGGTATAGAGTGAGAAGAGAGATGCAATCTCATTGCATGTTTGATGAAGGAGGCCCCCAGGAGCTGGTGGAAAAAGTTAGCCCAACCTCGGTTTGAATCCCAGTTTAGCCTGTGCGGGTTGTGTAACCTCAGGCAACTTTCCTAAACTCTTTGAGTCACAATGTCCTCATGTCTAAAATGAAGGTGGTAAAATTGACTTCATAGGATTGCTTTGAGGAGAAAAGCAGATAAAATGTTTAGTAACTAGCCATTGCAGCGGCCAATACAGTACAGAGTATTGGCAGTTGAGTATCAGCAGTTGAGTGTTCCTGTGATTATAATTGCTTGATTTGCTTAGTTAGTTCAACCATCTCTTTTGGGGGATTACACTCTGAATGCACTTTTGAAAAAAAAAAATCAAACGTTTTATTATGTGTATATGGGTAATACAAAGTACAAAATTCAAAGTGTACAAACATTAGGTGATAGAAATGAAAACTTCTTTCTTCCCCCACTCCTCTGCTGCTCGTTTTTCTCCCTGGAGATAACCAGTATGACCAGGATCTTGTATATTTACAGATTTAATTATATTTCTTGGAGATAGGTTCATAACAATACATTGATTCCTGCTACATCACTTTCATTTTTAAATGATTATGTGATGTTCCATTGACTGGATGTATCATAACTGATTTAGCCAGTTTCCTATTGGTCAACATTTGTTTCTAATCTTTGGCCATAACAACAATGCAGCAAACACTCTCCTTGTGCTCAGCTTTGACTAAGAATAATGAAACCACAGGCAGCTCCAGGCAACATCATTAGAACAAGGCGACTGGTTGGAAGCAGAGAATGATGACCCGATTGGGTACATTCTGGATTGTTTTCTCAAAATACATCTCACTATTCTGTTCCTGGAATATTCATACTATTCCCCAAATGCTACCTACTGAAAAAGTGCAGAGTCCGCATAATAATATTACAAGAACTGCCTGGCTTGGCTCAGTGGTTGAGCCTAAATATGAACCAGGAGGTCATGATTTGATTCCCAGTTGGGGCATGTGCCCACGTTGCTGGCTTGATCCCTAGTAGGAGGTGTGTGGGAGGCGGCCAATCAATGATTCTCTCTCATCATTGTTGTTTCTTTCTCTCCCTTCCCCTCTGAAATCACTGAAAACATATTTAAAAAAATATTACAAGAATGGAAGCATCCACCCAAAAACCTATATAATTTTATTAACCAATGTCACCCCAATAAAGAAAAACAATGGTGACATTCTAGTTCAGACATGATGTCATGCAACCCCTCCAAGATCTATAATAAATGGGCACATTTTCCTGTGGTTGGCACCAGAGAGTCAAGGATGCAGAGATTCCAGACAGCCTCTCTAGAAGCAGCTGTTAAGAAGAGTTGCACTCCAATTTGCTTGAAACAGAGAAATGTATTAAAATGTGCCACATTGGTTAACATGGGTTCAATTAGATGAAGCCTGCCAATTTGGAAGCAGGACAAGTGTTCCTTGGTGGCCATCTTTGCGTATGTCCAGGTCCTCACCGGCTGTGTGTGGAATTGATTCAGAGAGAACCCATACATGAGGTTCTGGCACAATCCAAGCACAACTGAAACCTGGATGAATCCTTATTTCTGAACCATGAGAAAGGCCCACGTGAACAAGGCCGCAGAGGAATGGAAGTCTTTCTAAGAAGTCTCCTCCGTCAGACGTGCACGCGGATCCTGAAATGAGCTCCATGCAAATGAAAACCGGTCCCAAGGACATCTTGAGCCAAAGAAAATTCTTGGTTGGGGTTGAAAAAATGTCAGATAAATAGTTTCTCCTTGCTTCTCAGCGGGCTCCGGCTATCGCTGCGATCCAGATCTGGCCTCCGAGCAGTTCTGGCAGGTTTATCTTGGACCAGCTGCTGTGATGAAATCACAGTAATTCCAGGTTTCCCTCAAATCTAGACTGAGCCAAAGGCAATCTGGGCTTCTAGCATCCGGCTGACTTCACTGCCTCTCTCCAGTCCTTCCTCAGCTTTCAAGCTTCTGATTTTTTTTTTTTTTTTAACTGAGACAGGGGTGATGGAGGAAACCCTTCCAGTGCAGCCCAGAAATGTGGAAAATGTTTGTTTCAGGTTAATCCAGGAAACCTCTGTGAAGCACCAGTGAGTGTTTAGGTAGGCCACCTGGTGTGACACGGACTGACATGGATTATGTATCCTATAATATGCCAGCCTATCCATCAGGCTTCCTACACAAAAGATCTCAATCCATCAACAGCACTATGAGACAGAAACTGTTATTCCTATTTTCCAAAAGAGCATGGTGAGTCTCAGCAAGGTTGAGTCTCTTCTTTGAACTCTCAGCTGGTGTTTGAACCTGGTCCTAGCCTGAGTCTCAGGCCTCTGCTTGTACTCACATAAGTAAGAAGGCCTTAGATAGAGTACAGGAAGAGAGACGATGATAAGAAAAACTGAGTCGAACAAAAGGGAGGAAACTGAGACCCGGATGAAAGAAGAGCGAGGTGGGTGAATAGAGTCTGCTCATCCTGAGCCCAACCTTTGAAGCCCTTTTGGACCTGGGAACCCTGTGGGAGGTTGTAGATGAAAAGGGTCTTCTGTAGAAGGTAAGCTCACAGGGTGGCCTGATCATAAATTCCCAACTGAGCAGGTCATAGTTGGTAGTCACACCCCAGGCATATACATTTTGAGAAAAGGCTTCTCTTTGCCTTCAGCAAGCCCTGTCCATTGTTTCTGTGCATCTAGGTGAACACACCTTTGAAATGCCTCTTTTCAGTCCCTTCCTTCTAAAGCCTGACCACTCTCAAGAGAGCATATCATCTTGTTAGCTGTCATGTATTTGAACCCTACGTTGCTTCTCCCACCCTCATATAATCTTCCTTAAGTTCCCTCCTTAATTCCAAATGCATAAAAGAAACAGCACATTTATATTCTCTGGAGCAAATTAAGTCTTTCTTCCTAGCAATTGTCGTCAGTTTTGACTCAAATAAACTCATAAAAGTTCTGCAGGTTTGGATGTTTATGGCCACAAAGTTGTTGTCCAGATGTCACCAGAAAGTGCTGATTTGGGAACGTCCAGCAACTAGCACAGAAACTGAGATGCACTGAGAAGGTGCCCGTTGCTCTTTGCTCCTAAGGAAGACGAGAAGGCTTCTTGGGAGCCTTTGATGTAGAAGTAACATGTGCTCGAGGAGCTCAGTTCCAGACATGGTGACCCAGGGCTCTGTGAGACCTGCAGTGGGACTCATTGGGGTTTCTGTAGGGATTTTATTGAATTTCTTAACATTCCTTAGAAACAGGTTTTCTGGCCCTATGTGCTTTTGAGTGTCAACCTATGAACCAGGAGGTCATGGTTCAATTCCCGGTCAGGGCACGTGCCCAGGTTGCAGGTTTGATCTCCAAAAAGAGGCGTACAGGAGGTAGCTGGTCAATGTCTCTATCTCTCCCTCTCCCTTCCTCTCTCTCTAATATCAATAAAAACGAAACAGGCTTCCTGGGCTAGATGTGTGGCTTGCTGCCCATCCCTTGGATTCCTGGCTCCCAAGAGTCTGGAGGCAGGTCTGTTGTGGGACACAAAGTAACCTCCGCCAGGAGAGGAGGATGGACGCTGAGCAGAGTGCACCTCAGCAGCAGCCACAGCTTGTGATGGTGAAGGTGCAGAATTTTTGTGGAGCCAGTGGGACCCTGAACCATACGATGGATTGAGAAAGACATGCCTCTCATTTTCACCTGGGGCATTTTCTTGGGATCAGCGCCAGAAGGCTCCGAGCTATCAGAAGGCTGTTGGTAACAAAGGTATGATATTCAGAATGGAGGAACTGCTGAATTCTAGAAAGGACTCACCTGGGAAAATTTATCTAAAAATGAAGAGAAAGAGAGTGTTTCACTTCCCTGACTGTGGGTTCTCCCTGGCATATTTCCAGCTGAGGAGGGGAGACATTTTAGTCTTTGGATTATTTTGTGGAAAACTTTGTGTGAGTCATTAAAGGCCAGAAGAAAATAATGAAACTGCTCAACTTTGCATCTCTTGGGCAGGCAAGGTCAGCCCCCAAAGTAGAGCAGAAAAAGGTAAGGAGTGATGAATAAACATTAATCTTATGACAATAACTCTTGAGACCTATATATCCACATATTAGCTTAACATTATATGTTTTGTTTTTAATTGGTAAGCTAGAGTATTCAGTAGAGTGAGGGGCATAGAGAAGAAGATTGAGAGACGGTGGGCTCTGAGTTTGGGTCTGACACCCATGAGGCATGAGACTTTGGGCAAGTTACTTCTTGCCCATCAGTGTCACTTTCTTGTCTGCCAAATGGGATACAAAACAACAATAACAACAAAACTTATTCTTGACATGAACAAATGCCTAGCACATCATGTGTGCTAAGTAATACAGCAACAATAAAGTATCCTATATAATAAAGAGGTAATATGCAACTTAACCCTCACACCCTCACAAAATGGCTGCCTATGAACAGGCTGGCAGTTGTGGTTAGTGAGGGGTGATCAAATGACTGAGCAAGCAGGCTGCATGGAGCGACCATGCCAGCAGGGGGGCTATGAGGGGTGACCAGGCCTGC